TAAAAGTTCTGACGTGGAGCGAGTTTGTCTGGAACTCAGAGAAGATCGTGGACAGAGTCCAGGTCACCCACAACCACCTCAGAAAGACATTGTTGCACCTCCTGCTCTTAATCCACCCTCACCTAAAGTGGTAGGAACAGACCTGAACAGGTCTCCTCCACCAAACATGCAATGGAGTGCATGGAAACTTCCTCTTCCAATATATGTTCTGCTAAAACTCTCAAAATATGTACAACGCTTTGTACTTGGACCGATGGGTTCAACTGGAACAAAAGCGTACCTGAAAGACATTGAATTCAGATTGAATGGTTATCCTAATGCTACGGTTTTGGATAAAATCCGTCTGATAAGGCTCACTTCGGACAGAGAGGTGTTCACCTTCATCGAGCGTCTACCTGATGCAACGAGAAGGGATTACAACCTTCTGTGTGAAGCTTTGATCAGAGAGTATGACCCCTGCACGAGACCTGCTGGTTTCCCAGCTGCTGACAAGGTCACGCAGGGCAAGAATGAACATCCAAAGGTTTATTACAAAAGAATCTTCCAAGCTTATTTTGGTTACAGAAATGAAACCGGAATGGAGGAAGAAGAAGGTTTTAAGTATGTTTTCAGCAAAAATCTCCACACTGATTTTAAACGATCAGTACAAATGATGGCAAATTTCAGAGAAAAATCCATCAATGAGATTAAACAGTGTGCTGTGAATGTGTTCGAGGCATGTTCTCATGCTAAGACGCCCATAGAGGTGTTTCCTGGTATAAAGGTTAAACCCCACTCCCTAGAAATGGAAGGATGGAGTGCATCGCCTCCACCTCCTAAAACAGGCGAGAAAAAGCAGTATTTTCAAACTAACAAACCGCGTAATGAAGGTGCACGCTGGGACAGAAAAGCTCCTCTTTCAGAGGATGAACGTGATTATCATAAATGGGATGTGCGTAGGACGCAAAGATATGGGATCCAAGAGGACCCATATTATCAGGGGAAGTCCGAAGAGGAACCCCCAAAAGACGTACCTAACCCTCCCCCACCTCGGACGAAACGGACCGAGGCAATAAAATCACAAAGGTCCTAGGAACAAGGCCCTACACCTCTGAGCTCGGAAGAGACAGAGAAACTACAAAGGTTTTTAGAAACTTTGAAAAACGCTGAAATGGGAAACCAACCTGAAGCACAATGTAGTGATGTGATCGCTACTAAATCTGAAGGCGCGAATGACAACATTACAGATGTCGGTGAAACACACCAAGACATTGCTGTTGTTGCCTCCACCAACCCCTCATCGGACGAAGGGGGGGTAAACTCACACACAAACGATGATGAGTCATCGCAAGATGAACACTCAGAACCTGATTTTCATGATTTTGAACTAGGCATTCCAGTTCTGGGAGGACTCCCAGACAACCTGGTACCGAGTCAAGAAACTGGGCCAGTATGGTTCACAAAACCAACACAGCCCACAGCTCTTTTCTCAACCAATGACGTCGACCAAGGACCTCAAACCTATGGTGTCTTACCCATAGACAGGTCCGACGACTCAGAAAAGGATTCGTTGGAGCTTCCCAAGGAGCAAGAACCCTTATCAGTCTCATCACAGATTGAACAGGTGGTCGCCCAAGCCGACGCTCTGACATCCGATGAAGAAAGAGACAAAATTCGCCAAGTTCTTTTAAAATATGAAAAGTCATTTTCAACTGACCCAGACATCACCCAACTTCAGAAGTTGGATGATCCTGCAATTAACTCGATGATACTGTATCTGACTGACCCAGACAAATACACCCCATCGAAAGTCGAACTGGATTCCAATCCATACCTAAAAGTCCTCTTTCAGCTGCGCAAACAGTTAAAACTATTCAAGGACAACCTAACTTTAGCTCATGGAGCGACGTCCTCACCCGTGTTCGCGGTCTCCCATGACCGAAGGGGGGTGACGCCAGTTAGGATAATGCTACCAGATGCGATAACGTGAGCAAATCTGACATTCAGAGTGAGTGACGCACCGAAACGTCGTTTTCTAGTTGCTTAATCACTGCTTTTGTCAATGTTGAAACGTTGTTTTACTGGTTGCTTAGTCACTGTTTTTGTCGATGTTGAGACATCGTTCAATTGGTTTTTGGTATTGTTTCTGAACACCCCAAGTAAGAATGAATTTTGTGTGTAGTTGAGTTAGAGACTAAGAGGCCTTTAACCATGCCAACATGCAGTTCATTTGTTTAAATGTAATCTTTGCGGAGTCAATGTAGATTAATGCTACCTTAAGTACCATAATCTACATTGATCTCACAACGCGTAAGCCGAACCTACTCGAACAATTCTATTCGGGGGGGTAGCTAATTCTTTTTGATGAGTCTCGCCATAGACTTCCAAAACATTTATGGGGAAACCAAACACCCAATCTCAAGTCGTTCGTCTAATAGACAACAGACAATTGAACCAAACTATATTTTGCCATGTAAAGCTAACTTAAACCAAGTTAGGAATGGAAAAATAGTTTGGAACACTCTTCTATAGGTATAAATCCCTATAGTTACCCTTTTCAGCATGTTCCATCCCTTAACTGGTAGTTGTAGCTGTTCCCAACCATAATAGCTTACACACCAGGTGCATATAGTTTAAGGCCTTATGTAAAATCCCCTTCATAAGCCCACCTTAAACCACATAATTGCATGACACATTTGAACCAGAACGGCACAGACTGGACATCCACCCAGAGACGACCTTCGCTGGAGGAGGCCTGCAATCCTGACGTTGGTCTCCACTCTTCATCCAGTGGCCGCATCTTCAGTTCAATCCAAGGGAACCCCTCTATATGCTGATCAATCAACACTTCCAATCGTTGTGGATTTACCGTTGTGGATTATATGACTTTTTCCAATGGATTACAGACTCTGTTTCCAAAGGGTTAAAGCATTGCTACAATGGAATTACCAACAACATTATGGAATTATCATCAACACAATGGAATTACCAAGAACATTGTGGAATTACCTTGACTTTTGTTTTCCTTGCTGGATTACTTTTGACTTTTGTTTTCCTTGCTGGATTAC